CGTCCTCAGTGGTCCTCTGTGTGTCAGGGTCTTGAGCTCCTCTCTGCAGTAAGAGCCCCAGGGGTTCGGGATTAGGGTCCACACAGAGACCTGGGTGTAGCTTGATTACCTCTTCAAAGACCCTCCTCCTGCGGCTTCCACACTCACGGGCTCAGCCAACTGCAGATCAAAAATACTCAGCAAATAGGTCTGTGTGGAGCATGGGGTCACTTTTCATTCCTCATTATTCGCTAAACAGTGCAGGCCAACAGCCTTTCACAGGGCACTGCACGTGTCCGCTGTTGTGTATGATCCAGAGATGGTGTGTGACCGTGGGCCTAGCTTCTAAGCAAACGCTCTGTCGTTCAGGTGAGGCCACGGGGCATCCCTTGTACAATCCCTAGGTCCACCCTGATTCCATCTTCTCCAGACCATTAACTGCCCCAGAGATTGCCTGCGTGCCGATTGGCTTAGGAAAGGGTCACTTGTCCTGTACTGACCAATCACAGCAGGGCTTTCCAACAGATCCCTCCCCCTTGAGCTGGGGCAGGATCAGTCCTTCCAATCTGCCCCACAGAACAAGGGTCCCCTGGGAAATCTGGTGGCTCTCAGGAAGAAGGGAGTGGGACTGGATTCCGGTGCACATTGTGAATTCTGCTTCCCTAAGCCCTTCTGTTGCCTTTGAGACTCTGCCACCACTTAGGTTAATCACACGCCTGACCCTGTGTTCAACACGGAAGCCTGTGCGCCTGGCAGGGCAGGAGCTGGTGTCCGGCGGCAGTGTCCACAGCCAGGCGCGGTGCCCGGGAGCAGGAGGCGCCCAGTCTCACAGTCCACCGCTCCAGGCCACCCACACCCAAACCTGAGCCTCTTCTGCTTTCATGAGGCAGCGTTTTCCTGTTTCTCCCTCTGGATTCCAGGTGAATACACGACCCTTGACCTCCTGAGTTTGGCCTGTTTCACTTAACGTAATATCCTTCAGTTCCAGCCACTTTCCCGCAGATGACCCAGTTTCCCTCTTCTTTATGGCGGAACGAAGCCACACTGTGCATGTCCACCACATTTCCTTCATCCACCCGTCACCGTGGACACCTGGGCTGGCTCTGCTCTGGCTGCCGTGAACCGAGCGGCTGCAGACACGGTGAGCAGGGGTCACTGCAGCATGATGGCGTTATTCTTCAGGGTAAACCCGAGGACTGGTAGGGCTGGGCAGCCGGAGCCGCGTCTTGGCTTCTTGAGGGCCCTCCCTACTGATTTCCGTGCGCGCCGACTCCGTTCCTGCTGACTGTCACCAGCCCCCTCCTTGCTTCCTCCCCTGCCTCATGCTCTTGGTGTCTTGGTGGCTGCCGTCCTGACTGCAGTCCGTGGCTCTCGG